GCCGTCTACGCAGTACCATGGTCATGCTGACCCCTCACCACTCTCTCTCTCTCTCTCTCTCTCTCTCTCTCTCTCTCTCTCTCTCTAACACTCTCTCCCTAACCCTTTCCCCTTTCCCCTCCCCCCGACACCCCCCCCACCCCCTCCCCCGTTGGGCAAGCCGCCGGTAAGCTCTCTCTCTCTCTCTCTCTCTCTCTCTCTCTCTCTCTCTCTCTCTCTCTCTGTGCGTCTGTCTGTGTGTGTTTCACTCTTTCTCTCTCACACACACACAAAAAAAAAACAAATGTATATTTCCATGTTCTAGTCCAAGATTCATTTCGATTTTGCTCATCCAATCTATCGAAGTAGCCTCTCTCTATCTGTCTGCCTGCATGGCGGGAATGCACTGTATATTTCGATGCTCTATTCCGATTTTGCTCATCCTATTGATGGAAGTAGCCACTCTCTATCTCTCTGCGTGCATCGCTGGAAATCTCTCTCTCCCCCTCTCTCTGCCCTTTCCCCCCCCTGCAACACACGCCGGGGTTGAAAACGCAGAAGTCTCTACACCAACAGCTGTACTACTCTCTCTCTCTCTCTCACACACACACACACTGGGGTTTCCAACGATGGCCACCGCCGCCGTGCACGGCTCTCTCTCTCTCACAGACACACACACAGCGGGCTTTCCAACAAAGACCACCGCACGCCGTGCACGACTGTGTGTGTGTGTGTGTGTGTGTGTGTGTGTGTGTGTGTGTCACTCTGTCTCTCTGAGACTCTCTCTCTCTCACACACAAGAAAAAAAAAGAAAAGAAAGTGGCAGTGTATATTTCCATGTTCTAGTCGAAGATGCATCCAGATTTTGCTCATCCTGTCGATCGAAGTCCCCTCTCTGCATCTCCCTGCGCACATGGGGTAGAAAAGTCTCTCTCTCTCTCTCTCTCCGTCTCTGTCTCTCTCTCTCTCTCTCCCACCCTCCCTCCACCCCCCCACACGCTGGGGTTGAAATCGCGACACTTTCTCTGTGATCGGGTAGCCTGTTATATTTATAGTTATATATATAACTACATATATATCTATATAGATATCTATATCGTCATATATATTACAGCGGCCTAGCTCACATGGTAAGGCAGGCAGGTGGCATTCAGGAAGTGGTGGGTTCAATCCCCATTGGCCTCATGCACCTTCCTGGGCAAGCTTGGTGCCCGCCACCTAGAGATATGCCGTTGGTCCCCCGGAGTGGCATTGAGCAGAGCGTGCTGATGTTCATAGGGGTAGAGGACAGGGGGGAGGCACAGCGACTGGCCTATCGAAGAAGCTCGGTCCTGATGCTACCGGCTGACGCCTGGCTGGCTGCTGGTGGGTGGAGCTCCCGCATGTTCCCTCGTTGGAGGCTTGAGCACGGATGTGGCTGCTACGGGGTTCCCGTAATACTACAATGACAATAAAAAAGGCCTGAAAGGCCGTCCTGTCCAGATTTGAGACATAATTGAATTGGTTGGGTTTAAAGAATTAGCCTTTCATTAAATAAAAAAACAGGAAAAAAAAGGAAAAACGGAAAAAAGAAGGAAACGAGAAAAACAGGAGCAACTGAATTCATTTTTTTTTTCTTCTTCCTCCTTATAACTCCCCCTGTTCAGAACCTCTTGCGTACAAGGCCGCCCACGTCCATGTAGGTTGAGCGGCGGCTGCCCCCACCCCCGTGTGTCATGCACACAGCCAAAAGGCAAAGAGGCAAAGAAAAGAGGACGGGAACAACCAAATAAAACAGAACAGGGGGCAACACAACAGATCCCAGATGACAAGTCCCACATGCAAGCACCGCCCCAGCACACAGGCGAAACGACGGGACAAGATCAAGGATGTCAAAACATTCTTGTCTGCAGAGAAATCAAAAAAGGTCCCGGATACATATCTACACACAGCAGATGGCCTTGTTGGACGTTGGAATTCCTATTCTGCGTCATCGCAAGCAATTCGTACCGGGACATCATAAAAAACAATCCTATATATATACTAGGCTGGGACAACTTGCCCGGCCGGGCCAAAAAGAAAAAAAAGAAAAAAAATAAACAAATATTTTTTAACTTCATTTTTTATTTCCAATTTGGTGAGGAATTTCGATGTCACCATGAGGCAAAAGTTGTATGAAACTTTGAATAGGACAAATTCTGCTTCAATAGATTGGACTTGTTTGTGTGCTCTAAGGATAGCAGGTTAACTGTGGCCGGGATGGGTTTGGCCGGGAGTACCTTACTCAGCCCATATGGCCGCAACGTACATGTAAGGGACACCGGCCCCGTTTTCCGGTAATAAAAAAGAGGAAAAGATCGGACCGGTAAAAAAAAAAAAAAAAAAAAAGTTGTTTATTTTTCTGAGTAACATAAGTTTTTTTTCATTTTCTTTTATTATTATTAAATTTCTTATTCTTTATAATTTATTTTTTTGGGCTGGGACCCACTTTGGCCATTGCATGGCCGGGCCACCCGGGCAAACAAGGCGACACGGGTGGCCCGGATGGTATATGTAACCGAATCTTTTGACCAAAAACAGGTCCTGAATTTAGCCTCCCCAGGGTCCAGCGCTCTTAAAACGCTGGACCCCTGGATGTATTTGGTCTCCAGGCAAGTCCACATACATCCAAGGGGTCCAGCGTTTCAAGGATGGCAGACCCGACGGCCGCAAAAATTTCGACCTGTTTTCAGCCAAAAAAAAATTGGACCTGTTTTCAGCCAACGAACTTCCTTTCAATTTCGTTCAAAAAATAAAAACTGTCCATTTTCACGAAATGGCAGTTCCCTGAGGTGGGGACCACCAACCACTGCCTCAAGGTACCTGCGACGAGAATCAAAGCAGACTATCACTTGCCCACACCATACATATCGTCAAACAGAGCTGGCCGGTAAGCCAGCCGTAGGGGCAGAGAGGGGAGGGAGGGAGAAGAGGACAACAAACAAACGAGGGGCTGTGACAATCTGTTTAGTAGGAGTCTAACCACCGTAGATAACTCCGCGCCCATTTTTTAATATGTTCTGAATCAGTCGATGATTACAATACCTCCATGCGTCACCCAAAGATTTGCACAACGACATCCATACCCACGTGCTTGTGTATTGCTGCCACCACCTCAAGGTATTTAATTTAATGCTTTTTTGCAATTTCTTCGGACACATTCTTCTCAACAATATTTCGTTTTTTTTTCCTTCTTTTCTTAAAGAACCCAGTGCCTCCACTGTGCTAGTGCCTTTGCGTCTGGGCTCTTCCACTGTGCTAGTGCCTTCGTGTGTGAACCAGCTTTTTTTGCCTTTTTTTTTTTTTTCCAATTCAAGGCGCACATTCCACAACACGCACTATCAGAACAAACGAAACTTTATACACACCAATCGTCCACCGCCTAACTCCTTCATTTGCAATAAAATCACGTTCCTCAGCCGTGTATTTGTTCCCCTTCTCAAGAAAACGAAAATTCTACACAATCTACAAAATGGAAAAGGAACGGCATCCCATTTCCATTCTACACAATCCAACAATCCCAAACAACAGATTTACAACATGTCTTCCTGAACAGCCTGGGGAGAGTGGAGACACTTGTGAAAAATAGCGGCACTCCACAAGTAGGGAAATGTGCAAAATGAAAATAATATTTATTTAGTACACAAATTAATCGTATGTTTATTATCAATGGTTCATGAGGTGAGTAGTGGAGCTCGTCCCCATAGACGCCGGTGCACATCCGCAAGATTCTTTTATTTTTATTTTTATTTTTATTTTTTCATCCGTAAGATTCTCCCGCTGTCACAAGCATCCAAACATCTTATATCTACTATCCTTACAAAAACGGGAATGAAGTGATACAAATCAGACGCCAAAAAACAGAAAAAAGCACAATGGAAACGACATCATATGACACTGTTTCTATACAAACGGAAAAGAAATGGACATCTGTTGATCCAGTCTATTCGTGGGGAGCAACACGTGCTGGGAACCGGGCCCAGCGTCCCATATAGAAATATACAGATGATTTGAAGTGCCAAGGCCATTACCTGGCGTCGGCTAAGAACAATCTGAGAAATATGAAAAGAGTTGAAGAAAAATTAAGAAAAACACGGGATAGCTGCTGACCTGCCAACCTATTACTAGGCTATTCAAGCAGCAATTAGTGGGATTTAGAATGTTTTTGTGGGGCGCTTCCAGGGGTTCTGAGCTTTTGAAGGACTCCCACTAATTGCTGCTTGAGTAGCCTAGTAATAGGTTGGCAGGTCAGCAGCTATCCGGTGTTTTTCTTAATTTTTCTTGAACTCTTTTCATCGTTCTCAGGTTGTTCTTAGCCGAAGCCAGGTAATGGCCTTGGCACTTCAAATCATCTGTATATTTCTATATGGGACGCTGGGCCCGGTTCCCAGCACGTGTTGCTCCCCACGAATAGACTAGAGCATTTGTCCCCCCCCCAAAAAAAAAGGCATCTCGTTGGAGACTAGCTGAAAAATAAACCAAATAAGCGGGGCGAAAAAAAAGAAAAAAAAAGACCAAAAACAAAACCGCGCAATGGAAATAAGATTATATGCTGATTCTCTTTTTCATCCGTAAGATTCTCCCGCTGTCACAGGCATCCAAACATCTTATATCTACTTTCCTTACAAAGGCGGGAAAGAAGTGACACAAATCAGACGCCTAAAAGAAGAAAACAGCACAATGGAAACGACATCATATGACACTGTTTCTATACAAACGGAAAAGAAATAAACGTCTGTTATTTGACATCTCGTTGGAGAAAAGCTGAAAAATATACCAAATAAGCGGGGAGAAAAAAAAGAAAAAAAAAAGACCAAAAACAAAACAGCGCAACGGAAACAAAATCATATGCTGATTTTCTTTTACAAACGGACCACATTCACCACATCTCTTGTTTTGTTTGACATCTTGGAGTCGTGGGCGCTTTCTACCAATTATCCCACTTGAGACACACAAGTCGGTACGATACCTTGGGCACTGTTACTGTCTCCACACGAACGAATATCTTTTTACATCCTTTGTTTTCTCCTCGATGCACTAGAAAGCCAGAGACACACATCATTTGCTCATAGTCTGCACGCTAGAAACCAACAAGAACACCCTTCTTTTAACGACTCCGAATTCGACAACGACTCCAAATCCGTGTCCTCTTTCGGCACGGCAGTTTCTAGAACTCCTAAAAAATTTCTCTCTTGTAGCGCTGCGGCAACGCGCACGGGGATCGACATTTCCTAACGGCTTTATAATGAGTGACTGTAAATCATCCACCGTCACGCGTCAGATCACGACAAATGACACAGATTCCCTCGACATATATAAGGGCCTAAGGCTAATAATACAAAGGGCCTCGCTCGCTCCACCACTCAACATCTGCGACACGCTTATCCTCGAGGATACCCTCTCCAGACGTTCTCCCCCCCTATAACAACTGCTGTTACCCGTTGTTTTTTTTTATTTTTATAAGAGGGTGGAAGCGCGTCTATTTGTTTTCTTGCTCTGTTCTCTCTCACTACGACAGTCTCTAGAACTTCTTCTTCTATAGCAAATCGGATTTCTAACAACCACACACGCCGGTTGACGTCACGAGACCGCTTTCTTACTAGTGACTGTAAGTCGTCAACTGTCAACGAGTCAGATCACGACAAAAGATAGAGATTCACTTGGAAGTATTTAAATGGCTAATATACAGGGCATCGCTCCACCACTCGCCAACTGCAAAACCAGAATGGATCTTCCGTTGGAACATGGACAGATACAACGCCCTAATTTTCGGTCTGTGTACGTCGTGCGCAGGGGAGCGAGGCCGGTAGAACACTGCGTGCTGCGCTGCGTCAGCGGGAGCGGAGAAGAATGGCGGCACTAACTCAAAGCGCCAAAACAGCCACTCTTATGCTCAGGACGCTTGAGTAAATCACGTACATAATATCTGTATAGCGTCCCCTTTCCAGGCCGGATTCAGACACGATGACTTACCCCTCTATCCCATGCTTACCTGCATCTCACCTTCAGTCCGACCGAGTTCATTAACATGGAAGACAACGCAGTTCGGAACGCTTCAATACGTCACAGATATGATGATATCTGTATAGCATCCCCCTTTCCAGGCCGGATTCATCCCCCTTCACCCCATGCTTATCTGCTTCTGGACTCCAATACGACCAAGTTCATTAACACGGAAGACTCATTGCACGCAACGAAGATGAAGACGCTCCAATAGATCACGAATATAATCTCTGTATAGCGTCTGTTTCCAAGTCAGATGCAGTCACGATGACTCCGCCCTCTACCCCACACCGATCTGCATGTGATCTCCAAAACGTCCCAGGTTCATTAACGTCGAAAAGTAGCCGCGAATACGACGATGTCGTTCACCATCTCGTTGACCCGTGCCTAGCCGAAGTCAACGCTTCTACTTCCTACCTCACTGCCCCCCTGCCCCTCCGCCTCCCATCCCGACCTTCTCCTTCAGACCCTCCATAGCTGCGCCTGCCTTCTCCTTCAGGCTTTGCATGGTGCCCGCGGCTTTCTCCTGCTGCTCCTGCATCGATTCCGCTGCTCGCTGCTTCTGTTCCTCCATAGCCTGTTTGGCTTCCTCCGTCTTGGCGCCGACTGTCCCCTTCGCGTGCTCGTACTTCTCCTGTGCAGACCCCTTTCCTTCGTCATATCCTTCCCGCCCGGCCTCCTTCATCTGTTCTGCTCCAGCACGTGCCTTCTCCGACGCCATATCTCTCTCTCTCTCTCTCTCTCTCTCTCTCTCTCTCTCTCTCTCTCTCTCTCTCTCTTTGTGTGTGTGTGTGTGTGTGTGTGTGTGTTTGCAACCGACACTCACTTGGCTCCCCCTTCCGCCACTTTCCCTCAGCCCCGATCAACGCTGGCACTGCGCCGTAAGACCCAACCGAACCCCAACGAACCCCCTTGAATCCTCCTCGAAAGTTCTCGTTAAGCCCTTGTCATCTTCCAATTCCGTAGAAGAGCCATAATTATCGCCAACCTGGCGCAATGAGAAACACACTCTGTCTGCGCTGTACAGCAACTTACGTCCACCGCGAGGAATATCCAATCTTCGTCACAGCAACAGATCTCCTAAAACAGAGATTACGTTACGTCCTCCGCCCTTCCCTTGCGCCAGTCAAGCTCATGCCAGACAGAGACGACCTCTATCCGATGAGCCTAGTCAAACACGATGCGCTGGCGGTCAACTCCCACTTCACTCCAACCACTCCCAGGCATGCAAAGCGCCGTCTAGAAGACTTCACGCTAGGCGCGTCTCGTTCACACATCCGTCAGACTTCGCCGCCGCCAGTTCTTTCTTGGTAAGACTCCGATCGCTCGCCTCTCGGTGGTGAATGAGTTGAAAATGAACGTTGAGTGAGTTGAATTTATTGGTGTTCTGAAGTTCTGAACGGTGTGCGTCTCGGCCTTTCGGCTAAGATCAAGTGCAGTATCTGTTCTGATCAGTTTAATATCTGATCCAAAAAAAAAAAAAAAAAAAAAAATCAGAGCAATTGCGATTCTTCGCACCTGACGAACACGGCCCCACGCAGGCTCTCGAGGGACGTCGACCCCGGGATTCCAAGCCTGCTGCTAGAGGGACATCGGCCCTGCGTCCTTCGGGACATCCGTTAAAATTGGAACGATACAGAGAAGATTGGCATGGCCCCTGCGAATGGATGACACGCATGAATCAAAATCGGCCCTGGTACCGTCGCCTCTTACCCGGCGTTTTTTTTGGCCACTGGTTGGCACTCAGTATGCGCGGCAGGCGGTTATGGCCTCGAACCCACAGCCTCCTGCATGGCACCAAGGGTGTCTGTGCGGTATAAGGGGGGTTCACAAGAGAGGGCGTAAATGGGCTTACAGGGGTATGACATAATTTAGTTTGTTTTTTTTCTTTCTCCAACAGTCACTCCATAGAGAATTATGTGGTCACCCTCAGGGCATACTCACACTGTGAACCCTAAATCTGCAAAATATGCGGATTGGGAAGGGCCGATTTGAGGTTTTGGGCATGGTTCACGTCACACTGCTGTACCTTTTCAGATGGGACAAGGTCGCGGCCGTCTGGAGGAATGGGGAGTTGGTACTGTGTACCACACACAGCGCGGAGGCACAGCCCGGAGGGAGCGAGGACTATGAGGCTCGCCGCACAGGCTGTCGAAAGTCTTTGAGTTTCGACAGCTGTCAGAAAAAAATTGAAAGTTGGCGGTAGACAATTTGCCCCCTTTTCGCCACACAGGCTGTTGAGGGGCGAGGTTTTTGGTCATGGCCAAATGGACTCTGGCTTTGGACAGGACACGGCTGTCACGGAACAGTCCCTGACAATGCAAATTCGAACGCAATTCTCAAAAGGCAGGTGGGGCACTTTTAAATTTTAAATCTCCGTCACCTGCAAGCGAGAGGAAACGAAATTCAATGGGAAAGGGCGATTGTCGAGCGTACCATTCTGACACCTGCTGAACTTTTTTTGAGCCGCAGCTCTTCGGAAGTCTGTGTGGCGGTGCAAAATTGTCGAAATCCTCGTTTTCGACAACCTGTGCGACGAGCCTCTATGACGTGTATTTGTCCCGGTTATCCCATACGGCTAGCGGATTCTGTTCTTGTTTGTCCATTTGGACGATTCAACAACCCTGTTGTAGTAATCCCATTCTAGGCCTTTACTCGGCTTTGCATCTGGACAATCGAACAATCCTGTTTTAGCAATCTGTTTCAGGCCTGGACTAAATCTTGCATGGAATTGTACATGCATTTGCTCACATCATGTGAATGAGTTATGCGTTCAGAGTTCAGAGTTCAGAGTTGAAATGCATTTTGGGGGCCTTCCCCGGGAGGGGGGTGGGGGGGCATCTGAGGGGGGGGGGGGGGGGGGGGGGGGGGGGGGGCCCCCCCAAAAAAAAAAAAAAAAATTTTTTTGGGGGTTGGGGGGGGGTGGGGGGGCGGGGGAAAAGAAAAAAAAGATTGATGGTTTGATTGATTGATTGATTGATTGATTGATTGATTGGTTGATTTAATTGATTGATTGACTGATTGATTGATTAATGAAAATATATATATAAAAAACAGGATGCCGCGGAGCTTTTTTTTCTGATTGATTGATTGGTTGGTTGGGGAGGGTGGCCCCCTCCACACACACACACTCACGCACACACACACACACACACACACACACACACACACATACAGATGCACACGCACACACGCACACACACGCACATGTTTTCATCAATCAATCAATCAATTAATCAATCACTCAATTTTTATATCTTTAATTTATTTTATTTTTTTCGCGTTTTGATGTTTTTTATTTTTTTAAATATAAAGAAAAACAAAGAATTAAAATCAAAAATATGGGGCTCTAGACCACAAGAAGCTCTACGTCCACACACATATATATCTGAAACTCCGACGAAACAGTTTGTCACAGCCCCTCGTTTGTTGTCCTCTTCTCTCTCTCTGCCTACGGTTTACGGGGCAGTTCTGTTTGTGACGATATATATATATATAGATATAGATATATATATATATATATATATATATATATATATCGTCACAAACAGAACTGCCCGATAAACCGTAGGCTATATATTTTTACGTTTTTTTTGGGGGGAAGTTTCGTCACATTGTACGGGACCGGCCGTACGGTCGTACGACAAAACCCCCGTACGACATACGGGGGGCAACACAGATGAGGAGGAAGTTGAGTGCAAAGCGCACAGGTGTATGCATGAGCAAAAACGAATGCAGGTGTTATTCTCTGGGCTGACAAAAAAAGGGAAATGTGTAATGTCCTTTTTAACATTGGTACGTGAATAACTTGGTTGAATGTTGTCAACAAGTCTGTTGTTGACGATGTGAATAAACTCACAACTAGGGGCAGGAGAAAGGCCAGCAAAGTTGGCGCAGTCCATCCGTCGTGACCGTTGGCTTGTGCCAACGGTATTATTAAAAAAAAAAAAAAAAAAAAAACGGTAGGCGCCATGTGGCGCGTTTAGAAGTTATGGGGACTGTAACCCCTGTCTCTTATACACATCTAGATGTGTATAAGAGACAGGTACTGTGTACCACACACAGCGCGGAGGCACAG